GAAATTGGGAAATAGGGAGATCCTTCAATGAAAAACAAAAAGTACATCACACTGGGAACAGTTTACCACAGTTGAGAAAAGAAACCCAAGAGGGTGAAAAGGAGGTGAAAGGCCTCGAGTGTTTTCACTGAAATGGAGTGGGACGCAGAGTCACAGTGCAGTGGTTTAAGGAAGGTGCTGGGAAAAAGGATGTGGTAAAAGAGACTAACCCAATGGGATTAGCTGAGGTAGTGAAGGAAATCCCAAAAGGAGTTGAGGAGCTGCAGGCCAGTGCACAGCCTAATCATGGGCTGGATAGTGAGATAGTGTCCAATCTCTACAAAGACTTCACCTCTGTGGGTAAGGTTTACTCAGGAAGAAGAGGGGGAGAAGCTAAAGAAGGTAAAATATTGAGAGATACGAGAGCTAGTCAGTCTCTAATTGTAAGAGATGAAAGTACTTGCACTCCTTCTGAAATGTTACCCGAGAGAGTGATAATCTGTGGAATAATTGGAGAGAGATTTAGCGTTCCCCTGTGTAAGATCAGGTTAGAAAGTCTAATCAAGACTGGGAAACTGACAGTGGAAGTGACTGAAAGAGTGTCTATTCCAGGAATACAGTTTGTTCTTGGAAACGACCTAGCAGGATCAAAGGTGGGAGTGATGCCCCTTTTAGTGGAGAAGCCGAAGGAAAGCCAGGGAACTGACAAGTTAATAGAAAAATACCCTGGAATTTTTCCAGACTGTGTGGTGACAAGATACCACAGTCATAAATTACAGCAAGAAGGGAAAACTAAAGAGAGAGACGAAGGAGTTGAGGTCCAGCTTAGCTGACACCCTGTTTGATGAAATGGTAACGGAAAAACCTGAACAAATAGAGGATCAAAGACTAATGGAGTTACAACAAAAAGATGAGATAATGAAAGTTTTATGTCATAAAGCCTACTTGGAAAAGGAATCAGAATGTATTCCTGAATGCTATTACCATAAGGATAGAATCCTAAGACGAAAATGGAAACCGCAGCAGGTTAGTGCACAGGAGAACTGGTTGGAAGTTCACCAGATTGTGTTGCCGGTAGCATACAGACAGGAAGTATTGTGGGTAGCATACAAGTTACCTGTAGGAGGTCATCTAGGAGTGAGGAAGACTCAGGCTAAGATACAAAAGCACTTGTATTGGCCTGGATCACAAAGATGTGGTTGAACTCTGCCGTACCTGTCATACATGTTAGATGGTAGGAAAGCTACAGGCAACAATAAAACCAGTGCGTTTGATGCCAATTCCCACATTTGAAGAACCTTTCACACAGGTTATGATTGATTGTATAGGTGCCCTCCCTAAAACCAAAAGTGGGAACCAGTATTTGATAACCATAACGGATGTGTCTACCAGATTTCTGGAGGCAATTCCATTATGGAATGTTAAGGCAAAAATGCTGTGGAGGTCTTGACTGCTTTCTTTACTCATTATGGACTACCCGGGGAGATTCAGTCAGACCAAGGGTCCAATTTTACTGCTAAACCATTTAAGGAGGTCATGGATAGTTTAGGCATCCAATACTTTAAATCAGGTGTGTACCATCCTGAATCCCAGGGAGCATTGGAAAGGTGGCATCAGACCCTAAAGACCATGCTGAGGGCTTATTGCCAGGATTACCCATACCCATGGGATAAAGGTATCCCATCTATATTGTTTGCTTTAGAAATGCTCCCAATGAATCAACTCAGTTTACTCCATTTGAATCGATATTTAGCCATGAAGTAAGAGGGCCTTTAGAATTAATTAAGGAAAAGTTGATAGGTCTGAAGTCAGAGATCTCACAGTTAGATTATATATCTGAGGTGAAAGAAAGATTAAACCAAGTCGGTGAATTAGCTAAACTACATGTGAAGTTGGCACAGCACCTAATGAAGCAAGAAGCAGATAACAAATCTAAAATTCATATGATTGCCCATGGGGATAAAGTATTGGTGCTGTTACCAGTGGTAGCAGATCCCTTCAAAGCAAGGTTTAGTGGTCCCTATGAGATTGAGAAGAAGTTGTCAGGTGAATTATCTGGTAAAGATGCCAGATAGGAAAAAACTTTATCGGGTATGTCATGTGAACATGCTGAAACCAACTGAGAGGGACAGGGAGCCGGGTATTAGTTACTACACTCAAAAGGTGAGGAATCAAATCCAGATGATTCAGATTTTGATTGGTCTCAAAATAAATGGAAGAATGAAGAAGTCCTCAAGGAATAAGATAGGATAGTGAGTTAACTATCTCAGGAACAGAGAACTGAATTGAAAGACTTGTTGCAGCACTATCTACATATGTAGAAATGGAATGGGGAGGACTAATTCTATTGTCCATGAGGTGGATGTAGGGAATGCTGTTCCGATAAAAGAACACGTCTACAGGCTTAATCCTCTCAAAGCCGCACAGGTACAGAAGAAAGTGGAAGTGATGCTTCAAAAAAATATCAAGCTAAGTGAAAGCAAATGGAGTTCACCGATTGTGTGGGTTCCCAAACCTGATGGTACTCAACGATTCTGTGCAGATTTATTGGAAAGTCAATGCCATAACTAAATCAAACTCTAACCCAATTCCAAGGCTGGAGGACTGTGTGTAAAAAGTTGGAAAAGCCACTTACATCGCAAAGTTAGACTTACTTTGTGGTTACTGACACTTCTCTTTGTCAGTGAGAGCAAAAGAAACTTCTGCATTTGTAACCCCAAATGGACTGAATCAATTTAAAGTAATGCCCTTTAGAATGAAGAATGCACCAGCCACATTTCAAAGACTTATGGACTAAGTTGTGGCAGGATTGACTAATTGTGCTGTCTATGTAGACGATTTAGTGATCTTTAGCCATTCGTAGACAGATGACATAATGCATTTGGCAAAGCTCTTTGAGAGACTACAGAAGGCAAAAGCTGGTCATAAATTTGGACAGAATTTGTGAAGGCAGAAGTGACGTTCTTAGATATATCGGACACAGACGGATGACCCCAAGGAACGTGAAGACGAAGGCCATTGAGGAATTTCCAAGACCATCCTCGAAAAAGGAAGTGCTACAGTTTTTGGGACTGAGCGGATTGTACTAGAAGTTTCTACTGAACTTTAGTAATGTGGTGGCACTGCTGACGGATTTGCTAAAGAAGAACACAAAATTTCGGAGGACGGAACAATGCCAGGAGGCTTTATAGAATTTAAAAGCCATGTTAACCACTGCACCAGTTTTAGCCACACCCAATTTCTTAAAACCCTTTAAATTCACTATCGACGCCAGCAACAGAGAGGTTGGAGCTGTGTTGATGCAGGAGGATGATGGCAGAATTGAAAGGTCCAATCGGTAATTTTTCAAAGCAACTCAACATCCACCAGAGAAAATATTCCACTGTTGAAAAAGGGCTATTGAGTTTAATACTGGCCTTACAATATTTTAATGTTTATGTTGCAAACAATGTATGGTTGTGCACACTGATCACAACCCTTAGACATTTTTGGGAAGATTAAGAGACCAGAACACCAGACTATTTTGTTGGAGCCTTATGTTACAAGCATTTAATTTATAGATTGTACATGGTGCGGGTCGTGAAAATGCTATCGCAGATGCATTATGGTGGGTTTAAAAGGAAAATGTGTATATAGGTAGAAATGGCAGTGTTCAATGTTATATATGCTTGTAGGATTAGTACGAAATGTGTAACTCTAGATTAATGACCTATAGATCTGGTAATAATGGTGTTAAGATTTAGAAATAAAAATGAAGCCATCTTTTCATCACGATGGTTTATTTTATTAAAGGGGGAGGTGTTGCAAAGTAGAGTATTTGATGTTTGTAAAATGATCGGGGGGGGTGGTGGAAAGAGTGCATGGTCCCTTTAAAAGATGTTTTTTATAGGCTTGGAGATTAAAAAATTGTCTGCAGGCAGCAGATGTACAGAGAGTTCTTCAAATTGAAACATCATATCAAAAGGCTATACTGTTAGCAGGCAAAGCAGCATTTTTACCAAGGCAATATGTTTCTGAATTTAGCTAATTGATTTAAACCAGCCCCTAGATAGCAAAACCCAATTAAATTTAAATCTGATAGTTTTGATAACCTGCGACCCATCCTATTGTAAGAAACTAATAGATCATCAAGGGTAAAGAAGAAGGAGGCATTTGAAATTCAGGGTGAGAGTCAACTGCCATCTGCCAGGAGAGCAACTCTAAGCGATAAAAGAGAAGCTTACTGGCTCTCACAGAATTCTCTAAGCTCTCGGAGTAAGCACCATCTAAACTAAAGGTGCAGCTGCACCCTTATTGAATATTCCTGACACAAGAATTTGACAAAGGCATTCCTGATTGAGGATCAGTGGAGAGAATGTGGAACTCTCTGGAAGACTCAGTCTCTCAAAATTACAGCCAGGATAAGTTTTAATTTATTTTTCTTATTACCTTGGTTTATATAAGTGTGACTTACATTTATTGGAATAGCATACCATTAGAGTTTTGTTTTATTTGGTAATAGTTAGTAGTTACGGTGGAATTGTTTGGTTTGTTAGTAGTGCTGTTAATCTGTTTACTGTTAGAGTTAGGCAAATAAATTGTTACTTGTTGATTATAGAGTGAGTATCAGACATTTCTTTCATTTAACCACTCCTTTATAAAAGATTAGGAGGTGAAAGGCAGGTTATACCACTTTTCACATTTCCTTTAACAGATTATAAGGTGAGGCGAGCTTCAGTGGGTGTTTCAGTTTTAGTTATCAGAGTGGGGTCGACCATTCCTTTGTAACAATATTCAAGGCTAAAATAGACAAATTTCTAATCCTTAAGGGAATTGAGGGTTATAGAGAAAAGTCAGCAAAACGGAAGCAAATATTATGAGATCAGCCATGATCTCATTGAATGGTGAAGCAGAGTGCTGAGTGGCCTACTTCTGCACTTAAATCTTACTTGTCTGGTGTCTACATCACAATTTCTGACCATTAGTTTACTTTCTTCTATTTTGTTTGTCATCAGACTATCATCTCAATCATCTTTTTCACTCTAACCTTCCTCCCACTTACTGGAGTTCTCCAAAATAGTGTCTGTGGGATCTTTTCCATTTCCCTTAGAGAACAGGCAGGGCCTTGGGCCTTGTTTTAATATTCCAACAAATTTAACAGTGTGGTACTCCCTCAGTACTGCACTGGGACAGTCAACCTGGATAAAGAGGTCCAGTTGCTCAATTGGAGCTTGAACCCTTGACCTTTTCACTCGGAGGACAGAGTGCTAATTAAGGACAAAAATCCCAGAATTACAAATGTTGGGATTAGCCTGTGCTTTGATGTAATTTCAATACCAGTCAGTTCAATGCTGGAAATATTGATGGGGATCAAACACATTGAGAGGGCACAAAAGGTGTACTACCATGCCAACCAGATCTTGCAGCCCCTCCTGCACCCCGCTAACACTGTCGGTTAAACCACTCGCTGAAGCTTTGTGGTGGTCATCACCTTACCTTGTAAAGAGCTGACATGGATGCTGAGGCTACAACCAGAGTGATGCCAATGACAGAGTGACTGTGAAAACCATCAGCGTAGGTTATCATCACTATCCCCGCAATGGCAAAGATGGCAGCCACTATCTGGTTTGAAAACAGAAACAGGCTGGTTAAGTCATATTTCTTACAAGTGTAGGGAATGGACACAAGCACAGAAAGCTTCAGCCCAGACACCACCACACACACACCCACACACACTCACACACACTACCCACACACTACCCACATACCCACACACACACAC